TTATTAAATATAAATTAAATTATAATAAAAAATTGAATTAAAAAAGTTATAAAAAAATGAAAACTATTAAATAATTAATTTTATACTAATATCGAGTTTTTTTCCTTCAAATTTTTATACTATCTTCAAATTTAAATTTTATTCAAAAATAAAAACATTACCGTTTTATCAAAATCACATAAAATCGTATTATATCGATAGAGACAAATAATAAAAACTAAATATTAAAATGAAAATTTATTTCGTTGCATTATGCAGGTACCCTTCTAGTATTATTAAACGATAAATAAATTACTTCGTTATTAAATATAAATTGAATTATAAATAAAATATTAAATTAAAGAAATTACACAAAAAACAGAACTTTAAATAGTTAATTTGATACTAATATCGATAAAATATTACTTTTTCCAAATTTTTATGATATATTTAAATTTATATTATATTTAAAAATAAAAACATTATCGTTTTTCTCAAAACAATAAAAAAAGTATTATAACATTTACAGAGATAGAATAAACCAAATATTAAAATCGAGATATATCTCGCTTTAGAGAGAAACGCTTTAGAGATCATCGGTCCGAGTCTTACAAAGTCACTAGGATTTTTTTGACTTTTCTATAAGAACCTTAAGATAAGTCGATGTATACACAAGCTGACCTGAACACTTATGATTCACAAAAAAACATCAGCTTTTATACTATGATTTTATTACAACCAATTATTTGATCATAATTATTGTGTATTATATAATCACTTTCTAAACATGTCATTAATTTTATGTTTAATATTAAGTTTGAAACATTAAAAAATAACGAATTAATATGTAATATAACATATAGCATTCAAAGTTAATGATACGATATGGATATGGGTTCGATTCGTGCTACTAATTTTAATATCGTATCTTATATCTTATATATATATATATATTCTTAAATACTTTAATAAATTTTAATCACTATCATTCATTTATTTAATACATAATTCAAAAAGAAGTGCTTTCTTATTATTATGTATTTGTATATTATTTTTTAAAATAAAATATCATAAAATAAAATATTGAAAAGCGACATTTAAAAGAATAAATACTTGATTTTAAATGTCTTTCAAATTGTCGGTGTTTCACGTTGAAGAGACTAAAGAACCGTTTACTTAAACACTTACCCGGTAATTACTTATATGTAAAATTCTACACTGAGTAATATTTTATTTACTAAAACAAATCAGTATGCAACAATTTATCCCGGTAAGCACTAACCATAGTAAGAGTTTTCGTCCTCACTCACCGAGTAAGACTCTTGATTCTTGCATTCGTTCTTACTGAGTAAGATTCTTAGTCCTTATCAAACTCATCTTGTAAAGTAAAGTGACTTGGTAAACGCTACCCAGGTAAAGGTTTGGTAAACGGCACCTAATAAATTTCAAGTAGATGTTTTGTAATATGTTTATAACAACAAAATGATCGTCACAGTTTTTTGGCATATCAAACATTAACGGCTACTTAAAGTTGATAACCAACTGAAAACTCACTCTCCTTTGAAACCACACAAAACCGTAAAATAAAATTGAGAGCGAAATAGAATAAAACGAAACACAGATCGGATTAAGGGATCGAGTTCTTGACTTTATAATCAAAATGTATGACGCAATGTTATATGGGTACACTTCTCGTACCCCTAAATCCACGCAAACGCGAGTATTCTCTCTCCTACTTCGACATCATTCTAATTTTGAACACCCAAATGATCTATGAAGCATACTTCGGGTCCAATTTGTTTTTGATATACGTTGATCAATGGTTGGCTTTTGAACACCGAGTACGGTGTGATGCGGCTAAATAGTATTAAATGGGGAAAACCTAGACGAAGTAACAAGTACCACTCGGATATAAAATTATATCAAGGATGCGTACGGTACATAAGACAAAACTAGACAAAACAAAACACAACATTAAACTGGAACATCTGTCCCACCAAAATAGGTAGATAAAGACAAAATTGGTAAATTACTAAACTAATAATGTCAAATTACAACCATAAAACCTTCACCAATTCTTTTACCCGTGGATATCACTCTAACCCATCCACATACCTTACCATAAGAAGCCCTAAAAAGGTTGGAATCACTTGCACATGATGGTTAAATGGTATCATAGCCCTTTTGGGTTATCAACAGTACAATGTAAACATGGTCTGCAATGGCAGCAAACGTGTTAAATTCCAACAACAGTTCATTCCTGACCATTTTCAATGGCAACAATCTGTTTCCGATGGCAACAAGCCAACAAGTGTGCGAAAACCCGTCAACAGATCATGTCATCGGGCGAAGTGGCAATCAAGAACCAGAATAATATGAAAAACAGCAAGAATAAAGAAGAGAGAAACATATGGTTATTTATTCGCACCACAGGCACCCCCAAAAAAATCTCACTTACATACGATGATGACGGAATTACATTATTTCACACAGATTAATCTAAGAATGGGATGACAAATTGAGAGTAACCCCACCAGTCTTTCTATCTTTTGAGATCATATGTTCCATTTCAATACAAATCAGTGCAAGCACACAGAGATAAAAGACCAAGATAACAAGAACAAAATGGGATGATCCACAAAAGCATTCTTTCTCTGTCAATCTGCCCAAAATTGCAACAGAGATGATCAAATTCCAGTTCTCAATCACCATGACGAAGAGGTTTATGTTGAACAATCTTGATCAAAAGGTATGAAGCTTGAATGAAATCTCAACAGCACTCAAAGAGCATTAATCTTCAAGAAAGTGTAACCCCAGAGATGCAATGAAGTTCTGTGAATCTGCCCTAGTTTCTGGATATGGACCCTCATTCAGATCCTGTAGATTTTTTGACCCAATTTCTCTAAAGACTCCAATATGAACCAGAAATTATGGACTAGGAAAAAAAATTGGATAAACCCTAAGGGGAAAAAAATGCAGTGAAAGAAAGGGGGTAAAAGACCCTAGAACCTAAGATGCTTGATTTCATCAAATTGCAGAAACCCTAAAATCACGCAGCTAAAACAACTAAAACCCTAGTTCTGAAATGCAAACAATCCTCCTTCACACACAGATTTCGCAAATTACAACATGCATATTTATATAGATATTGACAGCAAGCAATACCGATGGGGAATTCAGCGAGTATCGTCATCCTTTCCGCCGGAGGATTGTGGTGGGGGGCCGGATAGTGATGCAAGCAAATTCAAGTGACCTTGGGTTATCGGAAGGTAGTTCCCAACCCTAGCCGCCGACGCCTCACCCATTGGTTGCTGATTGTGGTTGTGGATGTACCTCCCTTGCTGTGATGCCATGGCGGACGGTGACGACACGACCATCTCCGGCGGCGCCGCAGCAAAGCTCCACACCTGACCAAAATCAGTCCTCGCAGGCAGAGCCCAGAACCCTCCACCGGCGGCGGCGCTAACAACAGTAGCTGAAGACATATTATCCTCTTTTCCACCTCCGTCAAGACCGTCTTCTTCCGACCGAAGCCGTTTCCCGAGAATAAACGGAGTCGGAGAGATTAAGTGCTGGTGATGCTGCGACGTCGATTTCTGATCAAGCGCTGCGGAAAGAGACGAATTAGCGTTGGAATTCCGAACCGCAACCGAAACGGTGGAGAAGCTAGCAGGAGTAGTCCCGGTGCCGGTGGCGGCAATAATCGACGGCTCAGCTTGACGAAGGAGCCACTCGATGGTCTGACCATCGGACTTATGACCGAGCTCACGAGTGAGCTGAAAGACCCTGGCGGCGCAGATGATTGGCATACGAATACGGCGTCCACGCCCATCGACCTTGCTATGGCGATCCTTTGCCGGCGGCTTTTTGACGGATAAGACCCCGTTTCCAGGCGGCTGGTGCCTCTGAGTATCAATAATTCCGGCGTTAGGAAGAGCGTTAGCAGCACCTTCTGATGTTGACATAGTGTGGAAGGATTATGAATGGAGGAGATGAGGGTTTTAGAGGAAGAAGGGAAACAGAGCTCTAATGATTGAGCGGCAGGAGCTGGTGGAGACAGGAGGGCACATGGGTGGGTGGGCCATACCTGAGGTACTACAAACTGAATGCTTCACTCGCCGCCTATCACTTCCCTAATTTCACGCGCTCATCTATTTTTCTATTTATTTATTATTTTTCTACTTTTATAATAATAAATAATATATTATATTTCCATCTAATTAAGGGGGTGTTTGGGTAAGCTTTTCAAACTGACTTATTAACTTATTTCAGTTCGGTACCGGAGATAAGTCACTTTGGAGTGTTTGGGTAAAAAAAAAAAGTGCTTATACCGGTACCAAACCGGTAATAAGTCATTTTTGATAAGTCAATCCCCCCTGACTTATCAAAATCAACTTATTGTTTTTTGGTAATTTTACATCTATAAGCCAAATTTGCCAAACACTAAAAACCAACTTATCAACTTATTGCTTTTTGGTACCGTTATAAGCTAATCCAAACACTTTTTACAAAACTCCARTTTGATACCACATAAGTTAATAAGCACTTTTACAAAAAARCATAAGTTGTTTTAAATAAGCAATCCCAAACACCCCCTAAATACTATTGAGGTAACTTTATTAAAACAATATCCTCATATGTTTTAAGAAATTATTTTAAATTGCAATAATATTTATTAGAGAGTAAATTATGAATTTGGTCCTTGAGTTTTGTGGTTTATTGTTGATTTGGTCCCTAAGATTTGTGATTTATTATATATTCGGTCCCTAAGGTTTGTGATATATTGATTGAGGGGCTTTTTGGCAATTGCTAAATGGTTTGGTGCAGGATGATTAAGTTGTATTAAGAAGCTCTCATGATATAGTGAAAAATGAAATATAATTGTTTGGTAATTGTGTACGATGAAGTTAAGGTTCTTAATGGTTAAGGGAGATCCATGATACATAATCATTCAGAGGGTTTTAAAACCATTAAGAGACAGACTTTTTTTGTTAAACAAGATTCATATGTCTCTTAATGAAACTTAATAGGTAAACAAACAACCCTTAAGAGAGAGAGAGAAAAAAAAAGGGAAGAAATGTTTGATGGTTGAATGGTGTACGGGCTTGTAACAACATCCATGAAGAGTTAGCGTATTTGTGACCGCCATTTTCACGCTTGTCTTAGGTAAGGAGAGATAAGGGTGCCGCCAAATGAAAGGGAGATATTTTGACTATTGAGGGAAAATATGTATTTAGGTTTTTTTTTTTAATTTTTAATTTAATTAAATATTCAATAAAAGAAAATTATATTAACTAAAAAAAGAATTAAATAAAGACACATGACAAAATGACCAATTTATCCTCCTAGTAACTGAGAAGGTGGACGGAAGTTAGTGTGAAAGATCAAATGCAAAACAATTTGTATAGATGGAGGTTTACTATGTAATAAACGAATATAAGAGACCAAATCTATAATCGAACACATGGCTTAGGGACCAAATATGTAATTTACTCTTTATTATATCATTTTTTATACATGTATTTAAATTTATTAGAAACGTAGTTATATAATATAGCAAGATAAATCTCAAATTTTAATGTTTTGTTTTATAATATGATTTTTGTATGGTATTTTTATTATTTAAATAAAATATAAATTTGAATACTCAAAAAAAATTCTATCGATGTTAGCAAACTAATAGTTTAAAAGTTCTTGTTTTTATA